GAGAATGATCAGCTGATGAATCGTAGAACCGTTAGTTGGTAGCTCGTCTGAATCAATCAACGTTGAATTGGAAGAATGAATACCAAATACAGATGGTTTAATGTTAATTAACGTCTGGTAATTTAGCATTTCTTTAGGATTCTCTGTCCCTCTCAGACTTCAGTGTGAGAGAGGGTCTCAGTGGTTATCTTTCTGCGGGCTTTATGTCTGACGGGTATTTGTTTAGCGAGCACGAATGTTGACAAGCGTTACACGTCCAGAGAGTGAAAGAGGGTGAAAATGACTTGCTCTCAGGGGCCTTGACAACCTTTGACCCCGCGGCTCTCGTTTCAGATCTTTGTAATTGCCACTGACCAATGGGCTCCCGTTTTGAAACCAGACCCCGCGCAGCAGCTATTAACGTCCCCCTTCGTCCCCCACTTCCAACGGATCTTGTTTTGATTCCTGATGCTTTTATAGGTTTTGTCTTTAAGAGACATTCCTTCTCGGCACATACCGAGCACCCCTTTCTGCCCCCATTTTCCTTCCTTCCCGTCTTGTGGGGCCATTGAAAACCCCCTTCTTGTCCCCCAAACATACCTGTTTTCAAGATTCAAGTTTCAAGGCTTTTATTGTCATGTGTACATTAGTGTAGAGATGAAGAACTGAAGTCTCAGGCTCCTCCAACAGAGCAACATGAATATATATATAGGACAAAATAAGGCAAGAGAATGTTTTGAGATGTGCAAGTAAATACAAATACAATTGAAATAGTGCAAGAATAGTCTATATACAAGTAAATGGAATATGATATATTAGATACATAATGTGTAAGTTGCAAACTTATGGATGTTCTTTCAAAAGTTCAGGTGTTATGGAAGGAAACTGTCTGGTGGTTTTAGACCTGATGATGTGGTTAACATTCATCTGTTTGTCATCTTGTGTAAATAGTTATCACCGCAATACATTTCGTCTTAATGTACATTATTTTATTTCATATTCTGTTCTTGTACATATCATATTCTATTTGCATGTAGATAGACTTCTTATTACATTTACATTGTCAGATCACAGTGAATATCTTTGGATTTTAGTCCGGGAAATCCACATTTTGAGAGAATTTGAGAAACTGGGATCGATAGTAGACGAAAAAATACAGACAATTATCTGAATACTTGATTAATCGTTAAGGAAATAGACACTATTTTATTATATGTGTTGCATTGTTGGAGGAGCTCAGGTCAGAATAATTTCATTGCCATGTCTACACTGTAGCTTTGTGCATATGACAATAAAACCTTTGAGTCTTTGCAATCTTGAAATACACACAGCCCATGATAGGCCTTTGTAAGTGTGTGTGTGTGTATGTGTGTGTGTGTGTGTGTGGGTGTGTGTGTGTGTGTGTGTGTGTGTGTGTGTGTGTGTGTGTGTGTATGAGCTTCTCTCCATGAACTTGGCCACCCTTCACAGCTGCGTTCAGGTTGAAAGATGGGGGGGCCCTCGTCTCCAGCTGGGTCGGAAGAGATGGGGGAGTTTGGAGGGGTTTCCAGATGCAGATGGTTTAGGTCAAATGGAGATGTTTGAGGATGAAGGGGGAGGGGAACAGGAGCTCAGGGGCACAATAACTCCAGAGGTTCCTCCTCAACAACCCCTGGAAAAAAATGCACTTTGAGTATATATGTGTTTGTGTTGTGAAATGTTGATCACATGACATGAAGTTTTGTGACCTGATGGGATACTTGAAGATCAAATGAACACATGTACCCCCCCTGTCGTGGTCGTTCTCGTGAAATGTGACTTTTGACTGCTCTTATTTTAACACAAAAAACATTAATCATCACCACCATTTTATTTAAGAACCCTTTAAAGCTGTAAACAATGTCTCAGACGGCTGGTTTATATGAATAACTGCCGGGAATATACAAAGAATGGTTTAGGTCAAATGGAGATGTTTGAGGGTAAAGGAGCTCAGGGGCACAATCACTCCAGAGGTGACTCCTCCGAAACCCCTGGAAGAAATGCACTCTTGGAGTTTCACTAAATATATTAGTCCTCATGTGTTTGTGTTGCACAATGTTGACCTGATGGATCATTGCAGATCAAGTGAACACATTTACCTCTCCTGTTGTGATCGTGTGTCGTCCCCCCCCCCCCCCCCTCCCCCCTTACTTTGTTGTTGATATTATGACTTTTGACTGCTCTTACTTCAAAACAAAAAACATTAACAATCACCACCATTTTATTTAAAAACCCTTTAAAGCTGTAAACAATGTCTCAGACGACTGGTTTATACGAATAACTGCTGGAAATAAACAAAGAATGGACACTGACACTCAAAATTCAATTAAAGTGTTGATCAGTAAATAAATGGACTGTACTTATATATCTCTCTATCCAGTCTTTTCGACCCCTCAAAGCTCTTTACATACTGCGAGGCATTCACTCATTCACACCTCATTCATGCAGAGCTAACACTCAAACACACTCACACACACACACACTCACACACACTCACACAAAT